CTAGATGAATCAAGCTACTTTTAGTTAGCAGCGTCTTTTCTTTCTACCCAACTCCCCGAAAATAGCTAGGATCAAACTCTTTTTGTGAGTATGATTGGGCTATTAGTGGTAGAAGTAGAACCTGGTTAATTGGACATATTATTTCCCAATCTTCTATGAACTTTACTTCTCTTATGATTTTTGCTACTTTATTTAGGTTAGTAATTGATATCTCTCAGTCTAGTCACTCAACTAATCTACTTGTGGAGCGCAAGTGGTACAATAGTTGTGTGGTAATTGAGACTCTGCCACTATTGATTATGTCAAACATAGCTTTTAAGGCTCTCATTAGATAGTGCGACAAAATAGAAGTCTCACTACTAGCTTTTAGGCTTAAACAAGCAACAACGGTAAGGAATGAATACTCTAGGGAAATTTAATCCACACTCCCTGTAGTTAGGTTTAAATTTAATGATACCTCCTCCCAATTTTGAAATTTCACTGACCAACCCAGTTAGTTGTTTTCTTACGATATTAACGACGGACATTGTTTTACAGAAATATCCCTTAGTATTTTATAGGATAAATTTCATCCACTCACTGTAAATAGACCTAATTTCAACGACACCCACTCTCGATTCTGATATTTCACTATACTTCCTTTTAGTTCTGTTATAATAACTTTTAGGTTTATCAATTTAATATTTAATTTTATCAAATTAATATAATTTTTTTTTAATTTAAACTAAATTAACATTCAATCTCATCAAATCAACACAAAATTAATATCTAATTTTATCAAATTAATATTTGATTACATTAATTTAATATTTCATTTCATCAAATTAATATTATTTCTTTAATTTAACACTAAATTTATATTTAATTTCATCAAATTAGCACCAAATTGACATTTAATTTTATCAAATAAAAATTTAATTATATTAAATAGAATATTAAATTTCATTAATTTAATATTTAACCTTATCAAATTAATATCATTTCTTTAATTTAACACCAAATTAACATTCAATTCATCAAAGTAATATTCAAATTTATTCAATTAATATTAAATTAATATATAATTTTATCTAATTAGCAAAAAATTAATATTTAAATTTATAAAATTAAGACCAAATTTATTTAATACATATTAAATTTAATCAAATAATATTTAAATTTGATATGTGAATGGTGATTTGTGAACAGTGGTCAGGTGACATTGTGAAGGAGAGATGATAGTAGAGGAGTTGGAAATTGGTGGGACTTTAAAATGGACTTTATTGATTGTAATTTTTATTACAGAGAAAGCATTTTTAACTATAAAAATTATAAAAAAAAATCAATTATGTAACCAAATTAGTGATAATATGATGACTAATATATATATTCTCAATAGTAATTATAACAAAGTTATCATATAATGCTTTAAAATAAAAAAAAAATTATTAGGATCAATTGAAAATGACTATAATTAACCCTTTTTTTTTTTTGGCAAAATGTTAAAAGTTTTTTTTTTATTATTTTGTTTTGTTTGTATGCATTTTTGACCTTATTATGTTGAATGATTTTATTTGGTGTCAAAATAATTTTATAACGTTTTATATCATAATTTTATATCGTAATTTTGTAAAATTTAAGATCAATTTTACAATTATTTGGTAAAATTTGAAGGAATTTAATGTTGATATAATAAAACCAAATGTTAAATTAATAAAATTGATTGTTAATTTGATTAAATTAAGTTTTAATTTGGTATTAATTTTATGAAATTAAATATTAATTTGATATTGGTTTAATTAAAGTGAATGTTAATTGGATGAATTAATGTAATTTTGATGAATGTGAATATTAATTTGATAAAATTTAAGGTTTGAGACTGTTGTTGGTGGCTGAAGAGGCATATATAATGGGGCAAAAGGTTGAGGGCATTTTAGTCTATTAACATAATAAAAGGTAAGTTTGGCATTTTCAAATAATAGACAGTTAAATCATGTACTTTTTCTAGTGTCGTCTAAGTTACCGTTAGGAGGTGCCTATGATTCTACAATAAAAATTAGAAATGGGTGTAATAAAATTTTAGAATCGGGAAGGAGTATCATTGAATTTAGAACTAACTATAAGGGGTGAGGATTGAATTTTCCCAATATTCTATTGGGTGGGGCTATTCCTGCCCCACAAATCTCTATTCCCATCCCATTTAATTTTTCATTATTTAAATCCGCATCTTCTATTCATTATCAAACTACTAAATCCGCATCTTCTATACCCACCTCTTTAGTAATTAAACTCAGCTCATGTCACATACATCACATTAATAGTTAAGTTCACTCATTCTATGTATACCCCTTTAATAAAAGAAGTCATTGTTAGAAAAAAATGATGAAAGAAAATAATTAGTTTGATTGCAATGCATAACTATATTTACGAAACAAGAAAAAAAAATAGAAAGAAGCAGATCGAAACAAGAAAAAAAAGAAAAGAATGAAATAAGGCAAAAACAGAAAGAAAGAAACAAACCGAAACAAGAAGGAAAAAAATATCAAGCAAAGATTAAAGAAACAAGCAAAACTACAAGATGCAAAAACGAATTAAAAAAAAAGTATCAAGCACACACAAAATTGAACAAAAAAAAAATATAACAAACATATAAAAAGGAACAAATAATCTGAAAGTGTACATATATATAAATTTTAAATAAAAAATTATCAAATTTGGCAAAGATATCAAAACATACCGAAAATAATGAAAACCCCTATAACAAATATAAAATCAAACATATAATTAAATTGGGAAGTAATACTAACTTGTATCTCACTGAAAAAATTCATGTCAAAAAAGTGTTTTTATGAGTGCATGAGATGAAATAGAGAATAAAACTCTAATTATAACAAAATATAAAGTAGGTTTACTTATTAAAGGGAGTGTATGTAGCATGTGAAGGGCTTAGATACTAATGGAGTGGGTATAAAAGTGGTGAATTTAGTCATTCAATAATGAGAAATTAAATTTTGGGGGAGGGGGGAGGGGGGGGGGGGGGGAATAATAACTCGACCCTATTCTATTATACTATTAGTCATTTCATTAGGATAACACTTGCTTAGTCTTTTTTTTAGCTTGATTGTGAAGTATGTTTGGAAAGGTCAATTGAAAGACGTTATATATCTTAATTTAAGATTATACCTTTATAGTTGGTCCCAGTGCTTAATGTTAGCTTGCCTCCACATATGAAAAGCAAGTCATATTAGCTCATCAACTCGGCTTATGCACCTTCAGTATATAAGTTCAAATTTGAGTTTGTAATCACTTGTCTAATAGCTACCAAATGTGGAAGTTTCAACGTTAACGAGCTTATTGTCTCATTTCTAAAGGGAAAATCAGAAAGACATCACTCCTCAGGCAGATGTTAATCGTTACGCCTTCCTTCCCGCTTACACAATTTCATTGTGAATGCTCTACTTTGTTCTTTGACGCACTACTTCCGCTAGCAACCAGCTTTGAATTCTCCTTTAGGCCCAGTTTGAGTAGGGATTTGTAGGGTGGCCCAATAATATAAAAAATAAACCTCGGACTTTAGTCTTAAAATATTTAGAAGAGCCCATAATTTTAGATACGTTACTAACTCACAAAAAAAAATATAAATCTAAAAAATTTTAAGCCACAAAAAATTAAGTCCAATTAAAATTTTTATTGCAATAATTTGAGTTCATGATTCAATCTATTATATTAAAAACCTAAAAATTAGAAGTTAAAAAAAAATATTCAAAAGTTAACTCATGTTTACCCTCACTCATTCTCTCTCTCTTTGGTAAAAAGAGTAAAAAACAAAAATTAAAGTTGAAATTAAACACTCTCTCTTCAGTAAAAATAAGCAAAAGTTGAAACATCTTTTCCGGCGACACTAGCACATCTTTTTTCAGTCTCTCTTAAATAAAAAATTAAAAGTTAATTAATTATTTTTATTAAAAATAAAAAAGACCTCGTTTAGTGCTTCATTTTAGACCTTAAATTACCTTGAGCCGCCCCTAGGGTTTGAATAGAAACTCTATTTTGCGTCCCATTTTTTCATAACTTGATTCATGAAGTTATAATTTTTTAGATTCTAAACAAGTCGTAGCTATCCTTTATTTACTTGTACCTTTCAATATGATGTCTCTTTCGGTGCCGTACTCTTACCCAGAAGAAAAATGCTCCTCAGGCAATCTAGTATGGCCTGGTTCTCATGTAAAAGGATGTTAAGTGCAAAAAGGGGTGGTCTTCTCATTACAAGTTTGTATGCCTTTACCGGCATACTAAACTCATTAGTGTTTTGAAAACCGGAATTTATTAGATTTCATAAAACCTCTCACATTATTTTCATACTGTCTAGAAAATGAATAATTTTCTAGCAGCTAGTGATAAGAATCAAATTATTTTGTTTTACTACTGAGCTCTGGTGATGGAATTTAGACCCTAGTGTACGTTTGTTAGTGTGTATACTGTATACATGTCTGCTGTTAACATGGCTGTTGTTGCAGACCTTGTCTTGATTAATGCACAAAAAATAAAACATTAAGACAACGTTGTGTCGCGTTTGTTGGTTGCAATCATATAACCATTTTCAAGAATGCATATAGTGAAGGTTTAAAAGACTTTCAAGTACTGAATATTAGTTCATAGTGCGCTTATTTGATTTTCTTCCCTCACCATTATTAAGCTGACTCCAATGCAAATGCCGATGAGTTAGGTTCGATTACTTGTTGCCATGGTGGTGGCAGTGACAACAGTGTTAGTGGTGAAGGAGGTGACGGCAGTGATGATAGTGGAGGAGTGGTGGTGGTGTGGGTGGTTGTGTTGGCAATGAATTCGTAAAGTAGTCCCCCAAATCCTTGAGGAATATGAATTCGTTAACAGATTAAAAATGAGCTAGAAGAGAATTACAACAAACCTCTTATAGACCCTCCAACAACTCCCTAGTCTAATAGTAATTTATAAAAGTACAAACCACTTAAGTTCTAGAGATTTTCACCCATTTAGAGACATTAATGATGCCTTCTTGGTCCAATGAATTTGCCTCTAATTGAAAGTAGACGATACTCAACATCTTTGATGTCCATTCTGTCGCTTGGGGATTCTGCAGAACATGCAATTCCAATTTCCAGTATAGATGTTAAGCATTCAATGCATTCATTTCTATGGTTACTGGAACTTCCAATGCTGCTTTGAGCTTCTTGCATCCCTTCTGTTAGTAAAAATTGGTCCACCACCTCTGTTACCAACACCGGCAATGCCATCTTAACTGAATTATGAAGGTTTAAATCATCACTGAATGATTTGTCAGTTGGTCTTTTTCCTGTGAACATCTCCAACAAGAGAATCCCATAACAGTACACATCTCCATGAGTTGACATCCGAGCACCCATCCCATACTCTGCCAAGTTAATGAATATGTATCAGTACTAGTGTGAACCAAATACAGGGGTAGATATAGGTTTTCTTTCAATCGGTGTTTCAAAAATAAACCAATATTATGAATTTCCATGTAGTATATTGGAACATATTATGAAACGTTGGACTTAATTCAACAAAGTGAAGCTCCTCATTCAGAAACAAAAATCTGAAAGTGTACCTGGAGCTGTATATCCGGTGGTTCCCATAACACCAACAGAGTTAAATTGACTCAAAACAGCTTCTATGCCCGATTTTGAAAGGAGCCTGGCCAAACCAAAATCACTTAGGTGAGCAGTAAAGTCATTGTCAAGTAGAACATTGCTTGGCTTTACATCACAATGAATGACTCGTGCTTCGCATTTTTTATGAAGATAATGCAATGCGGAAGCCACATCTATCGCGATTTTTATTCTCTGGAGAAGATCCAAATTTCTCAATTGTGTGTGACCATTTTCCGGATGAAGCCAGTGTTCCAGGCTCCCATTTGGCATGAACTCGTATACTAGTGCATTGAAATCATTGCGCCCAAAATCAATGCTTGAGCAAGCAGTTATGATCCTGACAAGATTTCGATGTCTAATGTTGCTTAGGGCTCGACATTCGACCATAAAACTCTTGGAAGCTCTGCATTGGCTGAGTTTGAGTACCTTCACTGCAACATTTGTTCCCTCTGGACATAGAGTTCCCGTATATACCACTCCAAAACTACCTGAGCCTATCAAATTGCCTGACGAAAACCCTCCTGTGGCATTGAGGAGTTCCTGGTAAGATATTTTGGGATGAAATTGTCCGACAGAAGTTAAGGAAGGACGTTTCATCTTCATTTTTCTTATCAGTTGTACTGACAGAAAAACCATTGCCAGAGCTAGAAATAAAAAAGGAATGACAATAAGTAAAATCAATTTTAGGTATGACCCTTTTTTGTGTTTCTGAACAAGGCATGGTTTTAGGTGCAGGTCTGGGATCCCTTCACAAAGGTTAATATTGCCCTGTAGCTTAACTGCTGTTGCATTTTGGAATATTCCTTGACTGGGCACCTCTCCATCAAGATTGTTGAACGAAAGGTTAACATATATTAAGGAGGAAAAAGTCTCCAAATATTGTGGAAATCGAGCTGACAAGTTGTTGCGCGAAAGATCCAGATATCGAAGACCCTTTAATCCATTCAATGGAGGAATAGATCCTTCGAATAAGTTTCCATGCATATGAAGTCGTTGCAAGGCAAATAGACGCCCTAGTGTGCTAGGAATCTCACTGGATAGTTTGTTGTTTGAAACATAAATTTCAACCGTACTTTGAAGGTTACCGATTTCTGTAGGCAAGGAACCAGAAAAGGAATTTGAAGACAGATTAAGGAAAAAGCAGGAGGAAAGATTCATTAGCTGTCTGGGAATTGTGCCATTGAGTTTATTTCCTTAGAGCGCAATGTACTGCACGTCCTTGAAGGTATGCTTCCTGAAAAATTGTTTAATCTCAAATTTAGAGTCAACAACTGAGTGAGGTTGCCGAGGGAAAAGGGTATCTCTCCTGTCAATTGGTTCACAGCCAAATATAGACCGTGTAGCTTTGAAAGCTTTCCAATTGAAGCTGGAATATTACCCCATAATAAGTTAGTAGACATTACAAGAACATTCAAGTTAAAGAGATTTGAGATCTCTGGAGGAATGTTTCCACCAAAATTATTGCCTCCAAGCATTAGCCATGTCAGTTGTGATGACAGATTCACAATGGAGGTAGGCAAAATACCTCCAAACTGGTTCAAGCTGATGTCCAGTATTCTTAGCTTGCTGCAATTGGTCAATGACGTGAGAAAATCCGAGTCACCACGAAGACGATTGCCATAAAAGGAGAGGATCTGTAAATTTTGTAGGTTTTGAAAATGTATTGGTACGTTCCCAATGAAGTTGTTCTCACCAAACCAAGAAGAAGAGAATCTGAAGCATTGGATTGTTCTCACCGAAACCAAGAAGAAGAGAATCTGAAGCATTGGACAATGAAGCTGGAATGGGTCCACTGAATTGACAATGTGTCAAAACAAGTATTTGGAGGTTTGGAAGCACTAAGCCAATGTCAGTCCTGAGATTACCAGAGAAATTATTCAAAGCCATAAAAATTATTCTGAGTGATGACAAATTGTAAAGAAAGGGAGGAAACATGCCATTGTAATTGTTTCCTGTAACCGAAAACTCGATCATACTCCTTAATTGGGAAAATTTATTAGGAAATTCTCCTTCCAAGTTGTTAGTGTAGCCAAAGCCTCTGGAGAGATGATAGATTTCCAATTGAAGTGGGTAAACTTCATGTAAGATTGTTGTTATGGAGATAAAGATGCTCAAGCATTGACAATGACCCAAGCTCGAAAGGAACTCGACCTTTGAGAAGGTTGTAACCTAGCTGGAGATTTATGAGTTTGGTACAACGCGACAGACTGACAGGAATTTCTCCTTGTAGAAGATTATTGCTCAGGTTGAACTCTCGAAGCCTGAACAAACAACCCACTTCTGATGGGATTTCATTATGAAATGAGTTGATTGCCAAGTTGAAGGATCGGAGGAAAGAAAGATTTCCAACGTGGGGTGATATGGTTCCAACCAACTTCTGATTATGTAGGTGCAAGCTGACGACTCTTTGGTGTTTGAGGCCACATGTAACTCCCACCCACTGGCAGAATGGGAAGGATTTATTCCACGAGGCCAAAACTCCAAAAGGATCATCACTTATTTTGGACTTGAAGTCGAGCAATGCTAGCTTATCAGTCTCATTTCCAAGTTTGGTTGCTGTGACAGACTTTGGAATATACAAATTGAGGGACAGAAGAAGGATGAAATAAAAGGTGAGTTGGAAAATTAGCATGAAGCTCTCAAGATTAAAAGCCATTCGAGAGGGAGAGAGTTGCCACAGCTGAGCTGAGTTTTGATGGTAAGATGTCATATCTGTTATATAGACGCATTGAACACCTCTAATTTCTTCAATAATGTAAATGCTCTTGCCGAATTCAAGGGTGGAGCTACATTGGTTCGAGGGGGATGAGGGGAGGGGGTAACACACCCACCGTGACTTTTGAAAAATCTCCGTTTTATGTGCACGATAAAAGTTCATAATGTTGGACTAAAACAGTTTTTTAAGTGTAAAAATTGAATTTTTGATCGACTATGAGTATAAATTAAAATGGGACCTGCTCGTCGTTTCGAGTAAACTTTTATGAGTTTTTATTCTACTCCGTGAGGAGAATAACGTCGTATATTCACTTGCTTAAATTTAGTAAAAAAAATGAATGAGAAAATAGGCTCAAAAGTGACCCTCTTCAAATTTGAAAATAAAGGTTGTGCAATGTGAGATTTGACATCAATTTCACATTGATCAAGGAAGAGAGTCTACATGGAGATATATTGGTCAAGTTTGATTTATGGGATTAGGCACCAAGGGGTATCATAATTTACGAGTGGAGCAAGTTCCTACAGGTCTTCGGCTCAACCACACTCTACAACCTGACCGAGTTGTGCACAAGTGTGGGTGTGAGTGTGGTTTAAATTGGGCGAGAATTTCTTATTCCGAATTTAATTTTGGTACTCGTTTAGATTGTAATTTCCTTTCAAACCTAAATTCTGAATTGTGTCTGCTCATAGAGAACCACTACACAAATGGTGTCTTTTGGGTTGTGTATTTTATATGGTGGCTGTCCAAAACAGTTACTAGACTGTCTATAAATACTCAGACTCTCATTATCATTCTATATTAATTCATCAGTCTATTTTCAGAGTTACGACAGATATTAGTGTATTACATTTTGCCATTAAGGCCGTCTGCATTTGGAAAGTATATAAAATAATTTCTGGTTCTCTAGAAGAGTATATTGGAGTGTTACCTCTATTCGTGTGCAGATCATTGTATCATGAAAGACAAACGCTTTAATTTCCATAAGCATCATGCATGGGGGCAAAATCTATTTTAAGGATATAGTGTCAAATACTAATCTTGATCTACTTAAAGAACAATAATAGTTCATGTTTTACAAACGGGTCAGTTTTTATATTGTTTAAATACAAATTTATTGTATAACTGTTTTGTTTGTATCTGTTTCTGTTTCGTACCAGTAACTATTTCATACATACTACCATAACTATTTTGTACAACTATTGTAACTGTTTTGTTCTTGACTATTACTGTTTTGATTTACATTACATGTTTCAAATCAGAAACACCACAAACAACACATAATTTTCTAATTAAATAAAGGATGAATTGTAAAGAAATTTAATATTGAACTAATCAAGTATAGATAATTTTTAGGATTTGAGAGAACGTCATACTCCGATTTAATGTGATCTAACGGTTTACAGTTAGTCCTGAATTTCTTTTCCCACCTATGAAGAAGTCTCTTATCGTAAGACTCTATACTCTTATTTTTCATACGTTTCTAATTTAAATTTGAAAAAGCACAATAACACCTCATATTGAATTTATTTTAAATTAAATGATTTAAATGTTATATATTAAATGTGTATTATTTATATCTTGATTTAAGTTGGTTTTGTTTAATTTTTAATTTTATGGTAAAAATTTGCATAAAATTACAAATATTTATATTAAATACACATAAAATATATAATATCTCTAAATTTAGTGTTTTTTTTTAAAGTTTGACAGTTTAACATTTGACCCCAATAACCGCATACACATTGTCACTGCAACACAAAAATCAGTACCCAAATGAACAATGTCACCATTTTTGGATATGTAAGTTATTTAATATATCGATTTTTTCAAAACATTTGGTATAATATTTTATTAAAAACCATTATATACTTACTATATAATTTTTCATCATTCTTATTACAAACTGATTCATACCTAGAGTACACTGTAAGTAGATTTTTTTATCACTCATCTTAGTACCGATGGTTGATATTTATCAAAAATAAAATCACTATTGTATGAAAATCTATAGTTCTCAGAAAATTAAAAAAAAAATTCAAAGCCCATGTTAATCAGCAATTAAAAAAAAAAGTGATCAATACAAAAAAAATAAGATATCAATTGTACCAACAAAAAATGTTTAAAATCAATCTAACCGCTATGTGTTGAAATTATTAAAATATCCTATCTTTGTGTGTTGAAATTTTATAACACATAGTGCCTTCAGGCACGGGTAATGACTAGTGTCTTATATTAAATATATTTCTTATATTTTTCTAATTGTGTCTTGAATTTTTATGTTTCTTATACAAGAACATCAAATATTTTTTTTATTAATTTCTGGCTCTGCTCATCACGCTGAATTACTTCTTTTTCCATTCAACTTTTTAGACCATTTTGGATTGCTTGTCAATCTTTACAGCTAATAATAATCACCGACTTCTCTATTTGTCCATAGAGAATGCATATATGTATATTTATATATACAGTCGCTTTCTTCCATTTCAAGACGACACCAAGCTGCAAGCGGCAACCTCAAATAACAAAAAGCAAACGAGCAAAGAAGAGAGGCCGAAGAAGAAGGAACAATAAAATAAGGGTTAGGTTGCAATTCAATATGTAGTATATTGTCATAGCTTGTACTTACTGCATAAAAGTCTTGAAAAATTTTGACCTATGTGGTGGCGGCCCAGCCACCGCCCAAGGCTTTGCCTTAACCCAACTGCAAACCTGAAGAAGAAACTAGAAACCAGATACTAGATATTGACTGTGTCTAGAAGCATAATGTGTAACTATTACATAGAAGTAAAGTCCACTTTATATTTTGCAAGATTTCAATATTTTCGTACTTTTAACCATTAAATTTTTCACATCGGTGTTATTTTTTTCATCAAAAGCCAACTTATTGACATTGACACTCTAGGCGAATATGAAACGCATACATATAAATTAAACCTTGGAATGAAAGACAACTTTGAATCTGCTTTGTCTACGAACAAGGAAGTCATAAGTAATGCAACTATGAATCTCAAGGAGAGTTCGATCCTAGTTCAGGATGAACGTTGGCGGTATGCTTAACACATGCAAGTCAGACGAAAAGTGGTGTTTCTAGTTGCGGATGGGTGACTAACGTGTAAGAACCTGTCCTTCGAAGGGAAACACCAGTTGAAAACGACTGTTAATACCCCACAGGATGAAGAGCAAAAGGAAGAATCCGCCTGAGGAGGGGCTCACGTCTAAGAAAAATGTTACAATTTATATCTTCAAATATTAAATTTCTTACATTACGCCATTAATGTATCAAAATCTTTTAGAGTATAAAATACAATTAGCCATAGACATAATCTAGTACTACAGTCAGAACCAATTAATTAGTTTCCTAATTTGCGATCATTTAATTCTTATAAGGAAGAGAAATGCTATTTAAATTTAAAATATCGGTATGATTTATTAACTTAATCAATCACAACTATTGAATAAGTAATGAGTCTCAATAAATAATATGATTTATAGGTAAATCAATGACATTGATTGATAAAATCAATAAATCAAAGCAAAATTTTAAATCCAATTAGCATTGCTCGACAAGGAATACCCACCAAGTAAAATGTTAACATCAAAACCCATGAAACAGAAAACGAAAAAAGTATATGGTGTTAAATTTTGGTCCATTTTGATCTTTCTAATTTATGAAAGTTACCCGTTCAAAAAAAAAAAAAAAACTACGAAAGTTAGTAGAAAACTTTTTCATTTTTTGACATTGACCCTGTTAAATTACTAGTTCCCATGATTCTAGCATTTTAATGGTGTGGTTCTATCTTGTTGTAGTAGCTTTTTTGAGAAATTGAACTTCCCCACTTTGAACCAAAAAAAAAACTAATTATGTAAATGATTAAATCAATCACTGTTTTGAAGTCACCCGACGGTCGCAATTTTGGCGAACTCTTGTTACTATTCTGTTGGGGGGTGTTTGAATACCCATAAGAGGATTGAGTTGGATTGAATTTGAATTCGAATTCAATCTAACTCAATGTAAAGTAGTCAAGGTTGATTCATTCTTATTCTATCCTATCCTTGCTTTGGATGAAAAACATTTATTTTGTGGATCCCATTTACATGCCTAAATGAAAGATTGTGAAATGGCCATTGCATCTTTTTTGTAAAGTAATATAATCCAATCCTATACCAACTTTGGATGGGTATGGTACCAAAAATTGTTGAGGATAAGTAGATACTTGTAAATAGTCATGTAATAAAAAAATGAAGTCCGTAAAATAAATTGTACTATTATTATGCAACAAAATGCTGATTTACTATCGTCCGTTTTTATTTTGTATTTTTATGTGGTAATGTTTAAACCCTTTTTTTTTAACAACATAACCTTCTACACAATTTTTTTTTTTTTAAATTTTGTGCAACACACAATTTATCACAAAACATATGAATGGACAACAAAAGTAAATATCAAACGAAAAAACAAAATCTCATACAAAAATCCTACTTACCCGAACCAAAAAAAAAAAGAAGAATAATAGACAATCACTTATGGAGAGCCTCCCTAACAAAAAAAAAGGCATTAGGATTAATGTTGTTAATCAGACCTAAATACATATATGCCTTGCATATGTCAATACAAATTGAACTAAAGATGACAAAAAACCTCTAAGTAAGACTTTTACCCATAATGAATTTGATGTGATATAAACCTTGATGATGTTATTAACGCGACTGGATAGAGGTATGAATATAAGGTGCGTTGAACAGTTCAGTCTGATCTCCAACGCTCTAAAGAATGGTTTTTGGGATTAATGGATGATCACACACAGTGTTTATAGTAATTCACCAGCTCAAGAATTAGGCTAATTCACTCTTAAGGGAGTCTCTTTCTCCTAAATCTATTAATAACTGTGTGTGGTTTATAGAGAATATTTTGTAAGGCTACAATGACTCCCTCACTCTCG